GCCGCGGCCCGCGCTCCCAGCGGCCCGCGCGGCGCCTCCGGCCTCTGGGGACCGCGTGGTGCCCCGAGACGACGGCTGGGGCGCGCCTTGCCGCCTGACTGGGCTCTGCCCGCCTTTCACGAGGGTGTTTTTGTGAGCGTGTTGAGAGTGAGCAAAGACAGTGAGACGGAAAATCCCCAGATTCGGGAAATGCCGCTGGCAGATTCGGAAATAGTTATTTTCGAGGAATAATTTGGGGTTGGGTTTAGAGCGGAATCATTTGGGGTTTTGGTTGTGAGACTTGGGGTATCACTATCCCCAAACGCCATCTCTTACAAAAAATGGTGAAGTGGAAATTTTCCTTCTCCCTGCTCCCTCACCCGCTCCAAAATGCTCCTGCCATTCCCTCTCCAGTGCCCTACTTACAGAGGCTGCGTGTCACATGCTCCCAATGTGCCTTCCCTTGGTGCCAGACCCTGGAAATGGACCATCACAGCTACGCGGCCTGGAAAGAAGTCCAGATTTATCCTGGTAATCTCCTGGGAGGACGCGCCAGAAGAGCCCGTCGTACTGAAATTGTTTCAGGAGGTACAGAACATTAAATGGAGTTTTGAGCCACTAGTCCAATGGCTGTGGAAGAGAAAATTTGGAAAAAGATTGAAACTTGTTGGAGCTCAGTCTAAAATTACATGTGCATTTCTACTGTAATCTGGCCAGTTTTTATTTTTTATCTTTAAAAAACTCCCAGATTGGAAGCAAAATTGTGCAGACCAAATAAAGCTCGCTCGCTCCTCATTCCAGTGTCTCTGGCTTTGTGAGTCAGTTTCTGCATTTTTAGACTTTAAATAATAAACTTCTCCTAAAATGATTAAAAACAGAGTCTTGGCAAAGTTGGCTGTAATGATGCAAATCGGAATGTGGTCTGGGGACTGAGATCCTTAAATGCCACAACAAATCTAGTTTTGCACAAAGTGCTCAAGTCTTCTTCAAAATTACGTCAGAGGGTGAAATATATAATCCTGACAGAGAGAGGCTACGTGTATACACTTGGACAGTTAGCTGTCTTGGCAAGTTTTTAACTGGCCGAGCCACAGGCATTGCCCTGATTTTATTCCCACACTAACCTTAACGACTTTCTCCAGGCATGGGTGGACAGTAAGCAAGTGGGGCGGTGGGACATGCAAGTAAAAGTGAAAAGAAAGGTGTTGGCTGTTTGAAGTACAGAGACGTTTTAGTTTTCCTGAAAGTTGAGCTTTTTCTCTTACTGGATTGGCGACTTGTGATTCTTGGCCACATTAATCGCTTTGTTGCATGGTATGTTATGTTATTCACCATTAAGAGGCATGTTTGTTTCTTAGGTACTTACAAATGCTTGGACATACAATCGTTCTTTTAAGTGTTGCTTTATGATAACAGCTAAGAAGAAAGTACATCTTACATTTCAGATCATCAGATTTTAAGATCACAGTTTAAAAACTTTTTAAATATTGTCTTCAAAATATTAATCAGGTTTTCCCACATTCTGTTTAAATTGTGTAATCCTAAATTCCACAAAACTAAGGCTTCCTGGTGAGATGTTTTGATAACAGAAAGAAAACTGGAGGACTTTATGAACTTTATGATTGAAAGGAAAGGCAAATATTAAAGCAACAGAGAACAAGTAAAGTCTCTATTTTGTCAGAAGTAACATCTGAATTAAGTATAAAATTTAATTGTTGCTGTTGTATTGGAGATTAAACCTGGGGCCTGGAGCATGCTAGACAAGCTCTCTACTACTGAACCACATCTCCAGCCCTGTAATGCTTAATTCTTCCATCTGTATAACACTTGTTATGTGCCAAGAACTTTCTAGGGATACAGTAATGAATAACATTTCAAAGATGTATGGTCATGAAACATATTTATTTCTCTTTCTGAGTGGATATATCAGGTAGTGAAAAGTATCACAAGGAAAAAATGGAGTAGTGTGAGGGACAGAGACTGATGTCAGTTCTATTTTACATAGAATGCTCAGGAAAGGCCCCTAAGGATGGAAAATTAGGTCAGAGGCCTGAGTGAAAGAAAAGAGGTTAGCATTTAAATATCTGCACGAAGAATATTACAGGGATAAGAGCTGTAAGTACAAAAGGCTCTGAAAACAGAAGCATATTGGTCTAGTAACACCAAGACCACTGTATCTATAGAAGAAATAGTTAGGAAAAATATACTGATATCTGAGACTGTAGAAGTATATGGCCCCAATTCAGTGGGGACTTATATGATATGTAAGGGATTAATATATAATCCAACTTCTGATGGAGGGAAAACCATTGGAGGTTTTAAGTTTAGATATTTTCATTTAAATGGGGAAGAATGAGTAGAAGGATGGGAGAAGGAAAATAAATTAGGCTTCAAACATGTTAAACATGAGATTGTTCATTAACTGGCCTCATAAATTACTAATGGTATTTAAGAAGCTGATAACTACTTTGTAGTTACAAAGTATTTTCACATAACTTAATTTGAATGTTATACTAATAAAAACTTTGGACAAATTAATTAAAACAGAGTTTATTTGAACAGAGCAATTCATCATTAAATCAGACAGCATTATGAGCCAGAAATACCCAGCATCATGAGCTCTACCCAGTAGCATGAGCTGCAGGATTTACAGGTTCAGTACAAAGGCAAAGCAGATAAATCGCCTGATTTGCTACAGCTAGATATTTGCTTTATTTGGGGATGATATAATGAGTTGGCTGCCTGTGATTGGCTTTTATGAATGGCTGAAACTGTTACAAAAATACACTCTTAGGTTGTGGCTGTCTCTCTCTCTGTCTCTCTCTCTCTCTCTCTCTCTGTCTGTCTCAGAATATGACACTGCTTCACCAATAGCCTCCTGCTTATTTAATTTTTTAACAATTGTTACAATCTTACAAGTCATGTGGCAGTCTATGATGAATAATTTTTTTCATCTTGGCTGAAGCTATTTTTTCTATCTGTTGCAGAAGTATTTTTTCCTCAAATAAGAATTTCCTGAATTTATCTCAGGGCAAGCTGTGAAAGAACAAAGAATTTTAATGTCTGGCTGATTTAAATTGCTAAGGTGTTGTCATCTTCATTTCAATTTCATAAGACTTCACCTAGAGATTTAAAATTAAATATATACACTCTTTGATTTCTAATATAGATTATGAAGGTCATCAGTATTGTCAGAGTGTTAGCACTGCACCTAAGGCAAGTAAAATAGTAGTAATAGCGATGACACCACCTAACATTTGTTTGTGCTTAATCCATACAATGACCCTCATTCTAAAACGGAGGCAATTGAACGGTAGCAATATTAGGCAACGTCTTAGTTACTTTTCTCCTTGCTGAGACAAAATGCACAACACCCAAAGCTAAAGGAGGAAAGGTTTATTTTGGCTCATAGTTTGCGGAGGTTTCAGTTCATAGTTGGCTGGTTCCAAGGCAGAGTGGCATGGCAGAGGGACATCATGGAGGGGAAACAGTCCATGGCAGGCAGAAGGCAGCAAAGCAATAAAGTAGTGGAGGAGCAGCAAGTGACAACAGCAGCCCTCTTTCTGTCCCTTGTATTCTATCCAGAATACGTGTCCTTAGGGTGGGTGGCTCTCATGCCCAGGATAATGAGCCCTCCCATTATCCACACGCAGAACCAGGCCACACCAATCGGTGGGCTAATTCAATAATCACACATCTTTGATCCCAGCATCACACACTTACTCCCACTCTAGATCTAGCCATCTCTGAAAAACTCTACCTATGACTGTGTGAGGCTTGGGGGACATGCAGACACAGGTGGTGAAATAAAGATGCGAGCAAGTCTGTACTCCAGACTCATACTGCCTCCCTGGAGAAACTCAGAAAAGTAGTTTTAGTAAATAAAGGATAAGAATACTTGTGTTTTGGACCGGC